CGTTTCTTCCCACGGACTTTATTGCGGCACGTGCGATCCCGTCGGGAAATTCGTCGGTCTCGTGTGCGGCTTCCCCGGGGGCCCGTATATTCTTAACAGTTAATATTAAATACATTAAGTATGTTGTATTGCCGCAATATTCGACGCAATCGACGTAAACCCTTAAATCATGGTTACGTGCCTTGGCTTTTTCGTTTATTCGGTATACTGGTGACGTAGTCAGGAATTCTCAATGGAGGGAACCCCCCCCAAAAAAAAAAAAAATAAACGAATCCGAAGTCGCACGTTTATTAATTAAATAAATAATATGTATATTTATTCTGCATCCGGGACCATACCCTTTCTTACAAACAATTCGCCATCAATTATCCATCACCAAACTTTTTCAATTCGGCCCATCTAGTACAGTTTTCCCTCTATACTACGTCTTTCCATCTCGCCCTCGGCCATCCCAGTGGTGGTTTCCCTATCGCGCTCTGTTGTAGTACTGCCCGTAGTTTTTTAGATTGTTGATTTGGAATTCTCCGCTCACGTCCATCGAATCACCGTAGTCCTTTTTTTTTGTTCATGATCTCTTAAATATTCTTATCTCCTTGTTATATTATTGTACAGCCGTATCTTTCTGTTCTGTCTGTTCATCTCCACCCACCAGTTGTGTTATTCTGTACACCGGTCCACAATTCGCACAATAAATTAACGTACATAAAGTCTAACCTTTTCGATGTTAATTAATAATAATATTCGCAATTATGTTTAGATTGTTGGCGCAATTGATGCACGTCCAAATATAATATATCCGGACAGATTCCCGGGGGGGGGGAGAGGGAGGGATATGACGATATGACCTAAATCCCGTGGCGACAAGTACCCTATATACTATACAGCTACACTCTCTTCCCTCGTTTTTGATAACGTATTATTAATGACGCGTGTTCGTTCGGAAGCGGCGCATCTGTCCCACAGACGGCTATTGAAAACGCCGTCGTGTGCTACACCATCGATACCCGACATCAGCTGCTGCGACTAGTCTTCGAGCCCCTCTACCCCACCGACATTGCGCCGCACGCGTGTTTCGTATACACATTTTTGGTTTTTTTTTTTTTTTTTAATAATAACAATCATAATATATTATTTAGGACGATGTGTATAGTGTAAAACTAGTGAACAGTTATACATCACCTGGACCGAGAGTGAATTTCATCAGAATTCCCCGACGCGAGCGGATGTTTTGGCCGCGAAACGCGCCGATTTTTCTGCTTTTTTTTTTCGCACCTGGCGTCAACGACTATTTAATGTTCGGTATTCGACAATTTTTTTTTTTTTCATACCAATTTAAAATTAAAACGGAAAGCGACTTTACTCATTATACGCATTGAGTTCAATAATTTATCAGTTGCTAAACATAATTGATACTAAATTCAGGAGACATATGTAATATAGATTCAGATAACTTGGCTACTTTTTTTTACATTATATTACATTGCAGTATTATTACGATATAACTTGAACCGCAAATTGAAATAACACGTTTAATGTTGGAAAAATCGATACAGCATATCCTACACGAAAAATACAGAATTTTTTTTTCTGAAATTTTCGTTGTAAATAGCTCATTTTTTACAAATCGGTGACACATGTTCCACGCGCTTTCGTGATAATGAAAAAACGTTATTTTCTGTAACTCGATACTACAGTAATATAATTACCACATAGTCGTCGTGCAGATTGTTTCCCTCGGGGTCAGAAATGTTTCGTTTCGTAACTATTATTATTACAATAACATACTCGTATCGAAAAATGCTTTTAAAATCTTTAGACGTTCGGCCGAAAAATCGTCTACATATCCGTTCGAAACGAATTATGTAAAAAAATAAGAAAAATAATAACCGCCGGCGGCCCGCTGTGACATCGCGCCATCGGTGGACGAAATTACTCGCGAGAAATGGCTGAAGATAATATTATGTTGTATTATTTATTTTTTTTTTTCTTCTACCCATGCCCGCCATCGATAATATCTCTGAACGCGTGTACCGTCGTCGGTAATTTTCTAAACGTAGCGATAAACATAATAATATGTGTACCTATATTTTATAACTTTCCTATATTATAACTCGAAACTCGGATACCGCATTATCTCGATGGCGCGCGTGGCGGTTCGAGCACGTTTCGTTTCGAAACCGAACATCTCGCGCCGCGGCTGCAGTGCAGGTATACATCGTATTGTTGACGTTCTGAAGTGGAGTTAATATATTATTATACTTTATTATATTATTACGAATCTATATTTGTATAATGCATTATACTCGATAATTGTCGCGAACATAATATACGCGGAGAAAAAAAAACAGGGAGAGGGGGAAATGCCGATAATACTGCTAATAGGGTAGGTGTGTCACTGTTTCAAGAGAGGGAGATATGAAAATGAGAATATCCGGAGTAATTTACTTTATACACGTCCGCGACAATAAACCATTGCTATCGAAAAACGATTCCGAGCATTGTATTGTTAGCCGTATTTTTTATTTGTTTGATTATTGTCGGGTTAACCCGTCAAATTGCGTACGGAAATTGTACAAATTGCCAGTTTTTCCCGTTTATTGAGAAAATTACAATAAAATACAACATAAATTACAATAAAATTAATGATTATATTATATTAATAATAACCGGACTATCAAATAATAATATTATTATAGATTATATTTAAAATCAAACCGGAAATGTGGCGGTTTTCATACGGAAGGAATACCTGCAATGTTATAATAATCGTTTTGAATTTTAGATTTTTATTTTGTTTAATAAACATTTTCTTTTGTATTTGTTGTAACCCAAAGACCCCTTAAGATTTTAAAACAGCAAGTATGTTAAAAAATGATATAGATTAAAATTCCACATTTAATATTACAAGTACTCGTACCGGCCACTTAAACAACAAATCCTATAAATAATTCATTATACGCGATAGAAAAGCACACGTGAGCAGCAGAGCTCCGTCACCGGAGTGGAATAAATTTTCCTTCGGTCGTCTTGTTGCTGACACTCAATTAAAATAGATTGTAATACTCTGTACTCTGTAGGGGTTTTTAAACCGGTAAACACATGCGATAAAAATAGCGGGTGCAGTGGTTGGGATTGAAACACCAGAAAGGAAGTTCTTTGCAACTCATTCAATGCATATATTAGAAATATCATCCCCATATTCACAATGAGGGAGGAATTATGTAGCTGCGAGCCAAATTTAAAAAAACGCCCTTCTTCTTCCCGTAACAATGTTCAACCCAACTTCAGCCCGCTTGTAAAACAATAACTCTTATTCCCGTGAGTATGGGCCCATTTAGTCCAGAGGGAGTAGCTAGAAGTGCCCATAAATAAAAAAGATAGAGATATAATATTATTATAACAGACTCAATGTCAAAATAGTCTCTATTTTCGGGAAAAATTCGACAACAAGACGTGAGCGATAAATAACGAACGAATGAAAATAAACACTGCGTATTATTTCGCAAGGTTGACAACACTCAGTCGAGTGAATTTCTAATCGCGGTAAAAACTGTGTTACTAGGAGGTACCTAATACCAGTCATACCTGTAGTCACAGTAGCGTGCCAAAGTTGGTTGTTTTCAGGTAATTGTTCCACGACCAAAATGGATGGGCGACCAAATATGATGAATGCTGATTAAGATCAACTAGTCCAGGGATGGTAGACGCCCTTAGGTTTGTGTGTTATATAATTAACACACCTACATTTTCGAATATTATAGCCTATATAATACGACGTGGTCAACCTGGCTAAATTTCCCCGCAAAACAAATAATTTATAGACTTTGGAGTGGGCGGGTCCTAATTTTTTTTTTTTCGTTTCGCATCAAGTATAATTAATGTTCAGCACGCCACCGTCTGTCTGCGAGTATATACTTTTTCGAGTCTAAAAGAACGCTGTGTGCGCGCGAGGAGTCCCACTCGCACTTGACCCGCAGTTTTTTATTCGACATTCGAGTGGATTGCACGTACGCGGAATAATGGTGACCGCGTGCGGATTGTCGGCGATTGGTTTTCGAAATCCACGTCGACCGAAGCGAAAAATAAAAAATCGAATAAAACCGGAAAAAAACATAATTACCTATATTGTATGGTTTTTTTTTTTATATTAATACCTACATACTCGCATCCGCTCGGAATTTCGTGAATCGATCATGTATATTGTTATTGCGCGTGTGCACGTGCCCGTTATAGGTAGGCAGGTATAGTAATAATATCGCTGTGATTTCACTCGATTTGTTTTTACTTTCTTGCTCGTACATATTATGTTTCTCGATACCGCGTCCGCGATAACATTATTACTATTACTGTTGTTACCGTAAGCGTGCAGGTACACCGGGAGTGTTTAATCGGTTCGGTCGCGCCGCGGAGAAAACGGAAATCGGAGCGGTGACGGCGATCGTGAACATTGTAGAGAGCGTCTCCGCGGCGCGGCTCGAGTCACTGGCAGCCGCGGTCCGATCGTATCGCACCCGCCGAATTTAATAGTACGAGACAACTGTTAACCAATAACAGTGCGTTTAATAATATAATAACGAAAATAGCGGCAGGCGAGTATCCAGCGTTCTATTTCGAGGGGGGGGGGCTGATCAAAATCTATAAACATTGTCATACAGCGAAATTAAAAAAAAAAGCTGTCTAAAGACATCTGCGAGTTTCTAGACCAGAATCGTTCCCACGGGTCGCGAATAACCTACAGCCGACAGGTTCGCCGGGCCGCGACTCGCCCGAGGCCGTATCCAGAAATAATTTTCGGGGGGGGGGTCTAAAATATGTTTATTATAGTTTTATTGAATTTAGGTTTTGAAATTCGGTTAAAGATAAGACCAATAAAGTTTTGATCTTCTTTTAATAAAATATATAATTAAATAAACAAAATTACTTGCACATCTTGTCACCATACACTATATACAAAACATAAAAACAAAATGAAGTGATAACATACACAAATAAAATATATTTTAAACTAATAAAATGCTTCTATATTTTTGAAGAGCAAACTGGTTAAACTCTTCTTCGGGATTAGCCGTAACATCTCTGTGGGCACTTAATAGAGCTAGGCCAGTTAGTCTTTCTTGTCCTGTAGAGTTTCGTAAAAATGTCTTGACGCGTTTTTTTGTCGAAAAAGTTTGTTCGGGAGTTGCTGTAGAAACTGGCAGTGTGGCTAGTACTTTTAATAAAAAATGAATGTTTGGAAAAAGTTCAGGGTTACAAAAATTTAATGATTCTACAGCTGCATTTGGACGATATGTATATTTAAATGCAATCCATTTTCTTTTCCATAATTTAATTTCTGAAGGTAATGAATCAGCATTTATAAAATTTGAACATAAACTAAAATCTGGTTCTAAAATTGAAGATTTTACACACATTTTTGGTATTAATAAATACAAAAACGATAAAATTGTCTTGTGTTCGGAAAATAGTTCTTTAGGTTGACTAATAAAATTGGAAAGGAATTGCAATAGATATACGAAAATAATCTTCAAGAATTTTGGTATCTACATTAATTCTATTTGTTGAATGACTGACTAATCTTAGTATTTTTATTTTTCCTTCGTCATTCACGGATATGAATAATTGTTCTGGTTTAATGAATGTTTCTTTGAAATTTTCATCAATGTTTTTTTTCGCATATCTTTCACTTCACTTGAAACAGTTTCAACGTGTTCTACTGCTTGCATTTTACTCACTGCAGTACTTTACATAATGGCAAAGTTAAAGAGAAAAGTGTCATCACCGTTATCATACTTATAATAAATCAACTAGTAGTTACACACTTATATAACTGTAAAGCTTCAGATGGTTCAATGTCTACAAATAATCGTAGTTCTTCCAATGTTGCAACAATATGTTTATATATTTCTGATAATCTTAACGTACCACCGTGGTTTTCAACCAACTTAGTCTCGCGCGTGGACGTCAATTCAATCCATTGAGGCAGAAATAGGTTTTGTTTTATTTGTTTAATACGTTCAGTTCGTTTAGCCGACGTTTTAACGCGATTTCCCGACCCCGAAAAACAAGCGAAAATCTCCGCGGACAATCGTCGGATCGCGATAAAAAAAAAAAAATCACCCCGCGTATTGTTATTATCGCGGGCGCGATCCCGCGCGCGTGATATAATAATATACGGCACGTTTGTCGGCGTTTCCGTCGCCGGACGGTTCCCGCACAACGGACGCGCGTACGGATCAACGATTTCCGTTTCGTTCGGGGCCGCAGCACAATTTATGCGGGTACAGCACAATGGCCGCGGGGTTTGATGCGTTTGATGACGATCCCTCTACACCGCTCTAATGCGGATCGCGCCGCCAACGAGGGTCGGGTGTTAGGTCCGCAGATGTCGCGGTCTCCCGCGACCGCGGGGCCGCGTCTTGACCCCGGCGAACAACAGCCGGACGATGAAAACCGCCGCCACCGTCGCCCGACCCGGCCTTTCGCCGTGGTACGCGGCAGCCGTCCGTCCCCGCGGATGCGTTTCCGGCCGCCCGTCACCCGGACGGGATATTCGCCCAAAGACCGCACGACCCCGCTCGCGTGCGTAATCCCCGGGGTACAGCAGCACGCGAGATTCCGCGTCCACCATTATGATGCGAATCCTCGAAATCCGCACCGTACCCCGTTTTGTTTTTTTTTTTTTGTTTTCCAGGTATTCGTGTGCGCGCGATGGTCGCGTTTTTACCGAAAAAGGTCGCGAAACACGATACTGGTACGGGCGTACTGTCGGATCGGCCGTCATCTCCCGAGGGTTTTTCGCGATTCCGTGGGAACCGCGCGCCACAGTTCGATAATATTGTACAATAACCGGAGGGTAGCGGTTGGAGACCCACAACATTTACAAAATATAATGTTATATTATGCGTGAGTATGGCCAGTGTGTGGTCACTGTAAGTTTGATTTCGAAGCAAGCGGATATGATTTGTAATGTTTATCCGGTCATCTACGTATCGCATGATTTCTGTCGCTCTTCCGATACTTGTCAGACTTTCGATTTGGTCAATAAATCGGCTTGGAGATCGTTATTTATTCCTTTAGTCTTGCAATACATTGCCTTGAATAATATAATACTAGACAGTCCCTTCTTATAGTAAGACCGAACAAATTTAAATAATATTCATAATAATTCTTCCAATATCAATGAATTTTGTTCGCGTTTAAGCCGTCCGCGGAATTCCCGACGGTTTTCTATAGGATTTAATACCATAAGTATCTATTTTTTTTTTTTTTTTTTATATGACAAGACGCATTTATAGTTCGTGATTCCGATCGGCAAGTCGTTACGGGAAATACCGGCGTTTCCGACAGATACGCCTTTGTTTCTTTCCTTATGTTATGGTTCTTCCGCGTTCCAGACGGTTTAGTAACAGCTACGATAACTGGTAGGCGTGTATTATAGGTAAATCGCAAGTACGATGACTTTGACGTTTTATTATACGCCCGAAAAAAAATAAAAAAAAAAATATATACATATATGTTCGTTCGTCTTTTTTGTGCTATACGATTTTCGTACAACAACGTAGTCGTAAACAGAGACTGAAAATACTTAGGACCTGGGCCCGGTAGGTTTCAAATCTAATATTAAAGTTATTAAATTACTTCAACTATTATAGGTATGGCTTGCGATGGTTCAGGGATGGCTAAGCTTTTATTTACGTCAGTGCATAATGGATCGGCGGAAAAATCATTAACAAACACATAAATACAATTTGGTAAATACCGGTCGACAGCCCGGTGGATCGCACAGCTATCGTGTAAAACTCGAAATATCAAACAGATACAAAGACATAATGGCAGCAGGCGGCGGAAACGTGACATTTTAGCTTATACATTAATAACCGGAATAAGAGACGAAAATTCGTGATTCCCGCTGACGCCATTGTCGACGATTATTATATTTTTGTACGTATCGTTATTGTTATTCGAAACGGCATGACTTTTGCCGAAAATCCAATAATCGACTGGCACTTATACAGTATAATGTGCCGTCGTAACTGCAGTGCTTGTAATAATAACCGTCGTGCGCCGTTCCCTCGTCCGGCATTAGGTTTCTATATTCTCTATCTCCACTCACCCCTCCCCCCGACGTTTGTGTAATGCGGTACCTATTTAGTTATAGTATAGGTACCTGTGTTATTATGTTATTACGTTTTGTTTTTATTTTCCGCCGGCGTATTTTACGCCAAAGTCTCGTTTAAAACACAATGATATAATAATATTATAATCGGCCGTTGCATCACGATAACGACCGCTCGAATAATGATACTGTTACGCGTGGGCGATAATTTCATGAAAAAAAAAAATAATAACAATAATAATAAAAAAATTGTAACGAAAAACACTAAGTATGTATAATATTGTATAACTTTGTATCCATTTTAACGAGTATACTCGAATACGTACATATAGTAGTCCGCAAACACTTGGCTGACACCGTGATATCGCGAGCAGTTAATATACATACAGGGTGATTTTGATTGCATTTGTTTTATCGTGAACCACCGATTATACCTATATGACTATATCTACGAACATTTTCAGTATACATCCTATTTGGTTTTCTCAAACGATATAATATGATCTTATTTCCATTGTATATTACATTCTGTCGGCAAATCAACACACTGTTTAATTATTATCGACAAAAGATTCAAATTCCTATTCGGAAAGTAAATACTTTTCCAAAAATATTGATATGTAGGTATTCAATTAAGTATTAACCACGTTATACTACTCCTCCAGCCTAGATTTTAAACAGTTTGGGCTCGTGAACGGTACATCCGAAAATTAAAAGAATATTTTCGTTTTCGCATGCAAATTCAAAAACCTTTGAGAAATAATAGTTTCTATGGTGGTATTCCGATCAAGGGTAGAGAGGAGAATAGATAGGCGTTCGAAACGTGGTACTATACTAACTGTTATCTAGAACCATGAGACGAGTCGGACTGACATTATAGGGTCTCTACAAGGACGTTTTATAAAGGGTTCCGGAAAGAAAATCACCGTGGACAAATACAAAAAAAAAAAAAAAAAATGTTATAGCGAACAGGGCATATTCTATGATGCTGGGAAAATCTCGGAAGGGATGGTAGAAACTAGAAGGGAAAAAAATACTACACAGAGGGAGACCGCGATTACAATATACACAATATACAATATAAATCAAATAATGGAAGATAGTTATGCGCCGAGAAGTAAATAGGAAGGCCACCGGTGTATAGAGAAATGCGGAGTATCGCTGCGCACAAATGCCCGCGGATTGAAAACCGTCGAGAGAAAGATAATCGCATTTTATGGTCCACGGTAAAATGTACCACTCTGTATGAACCGTTTATTCGCGTTTGTCATTGCAGTTTATACGTTCGACTTGTGTTCCACAATTAATAATAATGATAATAATATCGCGGTACATTGTATAACCACGTGTGCGTTAAAAAAAAAAAAAAAAACAGGATCGTTATAAGCACTGGTAGATAAACCGATTTATTGGAGCGTTCAAAGGTCACCATAGAGTGAGTTTACACGTAGTAGGGTTTTTTTTTTACGAAACACAAACACCGTCGTTGTCGTTGTCGCGTACGACTAGATTTGCGTTTGATCTAAAAATTTATATTTTTTTTTAATCTTTTATCTTATATCTAGATAAACGAGAAAAAGTAATAAAAATCATAACAACATTGAATCAATCATTTAGATAAATCGTTTTTAATCGTCATTTACGTATTTATTAGAAATTACAGATCAAAATGTCACTTTATTGTGGTTTAATAATTATTTATTTATTGACTCGCACCATTCGGACAACATTCTCGAAATATATTGAGGAATATACAAAATCCAGGACACTTAGAGCGTTTTCCATCTGACTGCACAGGTGTACACTTTTTGTTTACTATCGCCAGTGCGATAGAAAACCAGTTCAAATTCCATGTGACGGCGCAGTGCCATAATATCAGTGGTTGGAAATCACTACTTTCAATATAGAGCACTATCATTATCTCTACATTTCTAAAATTAAAAAAAAAGAGTTCCCTACAATCGTTAAGTTTTTTTTAAAATTGTTATAGGGCGTTATGAAATTCGGGTTTTTTTTTTTATAGTAGTGTGCTATTTTTTCGATTTGTAAAAGGGAAAGTTTTTATTTTTGTTAATCTTATAAAATATAGCGTCCTAAATATTAACTCTGATAATTATTATAATACAAAAACAATTTATTGACTTTCGACGTTTCCAATTAGAGAAAAAAAAAACTATAGGTAGAGCTACATAATATTTTACTATTTTTACGTATAGTAAAAATAAAAATAATACAAATACAAATTATATTATAGCATTACATCAAATTCGCAATTTCATTTCGGTAGAAAATAGTGCTTAAAGTCACGAATTTTGAGTTGTTTTCCTATAAACGATATGTATAATGTTATCGCGCTGTACGC